CCGTGATGACTGCGTGTGTAGATTTTTATCCATTCCTTCGAAGATGGAAGCCTATTGTAGCTGCTATCATCTGCTTTATCCTCTTCCTACTTGGACTACCTATGTGTGCCAGGGTTTGTTTGTCTGTCTGTCTGACTGTCTGTCTGACTGTCTGTTTGTCTGAATGTTTGTGTTTGTTTGTTGGTTTGTATGTATGTGTATTGTTAGTGTATTAGCAGATTTATGTTCTTTCATTCACATACTTTTTTGTAGACAAGCTGTCTGTTTGTCTGTCTGTTTGTCTGACTGTCTGTTTGTCTGACTGTCTGTTTGTTTGAATGTCTGGTTGTCTGACTGACTGTTTGTGTTTGTTTGTCTGTTTGTAGGTTTGTATGCATATGCATTGTTAGTGTATTAGCAGATTTATGTTTCTTGACATTCTTTTTGATGACAAGCTTTGCGAATGAGTGAACGAGAGATTGAGCAAAAGAACGAACAAAAGAATGAATAAATAAATGAATGAATGAGTGAATGAAGTAATGAATGAATAAATAAATGAATGAATGAGTGAATGAAGTAATGAATGAAGTAATGAATGAATGAATTAATAAATGAATGACAAACGAACGAATGACTTATCGATAGATTATTACCGTCAACATTAATAATATCAATAAATAATATCATTAACCATATTTAATAATTATAATTATATAAATATGAATAATTATAGTCTGGCATATACTGGCTGGAAGTCATGAGTACCTACTCGAGTGGCTGGTCTCTGGTGTTCATTGCAGCTATCGAGATCATGGTCTTCTCCTGGCTATACGGTTTTTTTTATCATCATTATTAATATTTTCGTTGTTGTTGTTGTTCATCAACATCATCATCAACATCATCATCATCAACATCATCATCAACAACAACATTACAACATCATCATCATCAACATCATTATCATCAACAACATTACAACATCATCATCATCAACATCATCATAATTATAGTAGTAGTAGTAGTAGTAATAGTAGTAGTAGTAGTAGTAATAGTGTAGTAGTAGTAGTAGAAGTAGTAGTAGTAGTAGTAGTAGTAGTAGTAGTAGTAGTAGTAGTAGAAGTAGTAGTAGGTAGCTGTTGTCGTTAGGACAGTTTCACTTGTGACCACCTTCTGATGTTTGTGGCCCTACCCCTAGTTTTTGTGGCCCGGAGCAGTCGGCCCCTTTTGTCTCACACCACTTTGGGCAGTTATTTATAGGTGGTGGTGATGTTTGGGTTATTAATGTTGGGCCGTGCTTTTGTTGATGGCGTTTGTTTGCGGGTTACTTGCCTCGTTCTCAATTTTATTTTCAATTTAGATTCAGTTTTAAAATAGAAAATAAGTTCATTTGAGATATAAATTTTTTTTTAATTTATATAGCACTTGAGAAACTTTTTCCAACCATATTTTATGAGTAGTTATTGAGAAGCTGTTGAGAGTTTTATGAGAGGTGTTACCCTTATCTTTTCAAGTTTCTAAAGTTGAAAAATTTTTTAAAAGGAATTTTAAACTTTGCCGGCATCATCGTCATCGTCATCACAACATTCATCATCATCATCAACATCATCATCATCAACATCATCATCATCAACATCATCATCATCAACAACAACAACATTACAACATCATCATCATCAACATCATCATCATCAACAACAACATTACAACATCATCATCATCAACATCATCATCATCAACAACAACATTAGAGCATCATCATCATCAACATCATCATCATCAACAACAACAACATTACAACATCATCATCATCAACATTACAATCATCATCATCATCAACATTACAATCATCATCATCATCATCAACATTACAATCATCATCATCATCAGGAGCTAGGCGATTGATGAATGACGTAGAAACCATGACGGGTGTAAAGCTTTTCATTCATTGGTGGGTTATTTTTACGATCGTCTCACCACTCATCCTATTGGTCAGTTCAAATTTATTTTTATTATTATTATTCTAATAGTTATTATAATTTTTATTATTTTTATTATTATTAATTCTAATAGTTATTTCTCCGTATGGTAGACAATAATCTTTAGCAGTGATAAAAATAATAATTATATTAATACAACAACAACCACTACTACTACACTAATACTGCTGCTGCTACTACTACTACTGCTGCTACTACTACTACAACTGCTGCTACTATTACTACTATTACTACTACTACTAATAATAATAATAATAATAATAATAACAATAATAATAACAATAATAATAATAACGATAATAATATCGATAATAATAATAATACTATATTTCAATTCCCCAGGGAATTCTCTTGTACAGCTTCATAGACTACACCCCTCCGAAATACAATAACGGTACCGACTATCCGGTCTGGAGCCAGGTGCTGGGTATGATGATGGCCGTCGTATCGGTATTCGTCGTACCGATTATATCCGTGTACATCATCTGGAATTCCTACTCGCAGGAAGAGTATGACGGATTGAAGTTCCATAAGGTATGTTGGCGGTATTGTTGTGTGTCTGTATGTGTGTGTGTGCATGCGTGTGTGTGTGTGTATGTGCACGCGCGCGTGTGTGTGTGTGTGTGTGAGAAAGAGAGAGAAAGAGAGAGAGACGACACAAAAGAATACAACAAAACCTTTCATCAGTAGTACATCAGATACAAAAACATACAAATATTAAACATTAAAAAGCATGCGAAAAATCAAGAAAACTAATAAACAGTACATTTAAACATACAAAACAAAATAGGAAGAAAAACTCATTCAATACAAAAGCATAAAAAACAATACAAAAACATACAAAAGCAATACAAAAACAATACAAAATCTTAAAAAAACACACAAAAAACATACAAAGAAAAATACAAACTCAAACGATAACAATACAAACTCACAGGAAAAACAATACATACAAAGACATAAAAAACAATACAAAACTAAACAGAGACTATGGAAATTAATGCACGCCTCTAAAGACTGGATTCCCTCGACGCAAAAACTGACCGTTCAAGAACTAGAAAAGCAAATGCCTGCCCAATATGTCAATGATAGTTTTATCGAAGATAATGATCAAACAAATAATAATAATAATAATAATATTAATAATAATAATTATAATAATAATTATAATAATATTATTATTAACGAAAATGACGATTCCAATGTCGCCAGTTTTTAATTAGGAGTGCCTCTTTGTGTGTAGGTTTTTCCGTTCGTCTCTTATTTTTCGCTTTCTTTTCCTCCCTTCGCTTTCTCTTAATTTCCACTTTGCTTACATTCTTTTTTCGTTCTTTCATTCACTCTTTCTTTCGTACTCTCTCTCTCACTCTCTTTCTCTCTCTCTCTTTGCTGGGTGTTGATGATGAAAAAATAACCAAAGCGATTAGAGTAACGATGATTTCGATTCGATGATCGCAGGTTCATAATTATATATTTAAGTTTTTATCTCTCTCTCTCTCTCTTTTCTCTCTCTCTTTATCTATCTATCTGTCTGTCTGTCTGTCTGTCTACCTCTTTTACTTACAAGCATCTTCTTCAATGCGGTGTTAGCTATAAAAACTTTATAGGTATTTTAGGTGTGATGATTTTTTTAAAATGTTGATTTTAAATATTGTATAAAATTGTTGAATATATATAAATATATATATATAATGGGTGTGTGTGTGCGTGTGTGTTCGTTTGGGTCTTTGTGTATGTTTCACTTATTTATTTCAGTCTTAAATTTTATCTATTCCGCACAATGTAGTTTGATTTATTTGATTTCAACATTTTCAATTATGATCTTGTATAGTCGCACACACACACACACATATACACACACAAACACACACGTACGTATACATACATATGTGATTATTTTATAAATTTATTTTATTCAATCATGTTTGTGTTTGTTTGTGTGTGCTTGTGTATGTTAATGTGAGCGTGTGTAAGTGTGTTTAAGTGTGCGTGTGTTTTTAAATACATTTGGTTAAACATTCCATCAATATCACCAAACTTTATAATATATTTGAAGGCTAAAATGTCAGGCAATTTATTATAAATAATAAAAAATAATCCTATTTACATAAATTATTTTATTATTTGGATTAATTTTAATCGCAGAGTTGGATCTGGCCTCATTGTTAGGCCGGCTTTTCTTTTGTAGTCTTTTTCTTCCGGTAGAGTTTCAAATTTAAAATTTGAAATTAGCGCCATTATCGTCAACTTAATTTCTACGAGGGCGAACTTGTAGCCCAGGCACATCCGAGGGCCGGTTATGAATGGCAGGAAAGAGTTTAAGCTTCTTTCTGGTCCGGATATTCCGAAAAATCTTTCTGGGATGAATTTTTCCGGATCTTCGTATAAATCAGCCCGTCTGGTGTGACATTATTTTGAAAAAAAACCAGACAGTAAGACAGACAGACAGTAAGACAGACAGACAGAAGCAAACAAGTAAACAAAGAAACGTATTTAATTGTACGATCCGTCCAACGAATTAAAAAAAAGCCGTAAAATAAAACCAAAAACAACAAATAAACAAGAATACAACCTCATCATGGCTCCCATGCTAAGCATCATCAAGGTACCGGCTGGAATTTTGTAGCCCGCTATCACGTCAGCTTTTAGAGATTTTCTCAACGTAAATGGTATGGGAGGATATAACCTGAAAATAATTAAAAAAAAACTAATTTTGAAAGAGTTGTCTTTTTGAAACACACGCACACACACACACACACACAAACAAACACACACACACATATATACATATATACAAGCACGCACACAAAACACACAGACGAAAACATACACATACCTTAACGTTTCTTTAACAACACAGTCACAATACTCCAAACTATCAAGAACTTCGATTGAATGAATTTCATCTGGCCTCAGATGAAAGGTTTCTACCTCGTTTCTCAATTTTTCTTGGACGTTTTCATTCTTAGCCAGCATTAGCAAACACCAGGCTATGGCTACTGCTGTAGTCTTGCGAAGAATTCATTATTATAATTAATAATTATATGAATAATAAATATAATAATTATAAGAATAATAAATATAATAATCATAAGAATAATAAATATGAAAGTCAACCTCATGCCCGGCCATCATTAACGTGACCACATGATCTGTCAACTCCCCATCCGACATACCCTCGCCTGTTTCTTCATCCCTCGCCACCATCATCATCCCAAGAACATCATTTGTTACGTTCTCTCTATCTATCATTTTTTTTATTTTCGTTGATAAAATGTCATTCTGGGTTTTATTCGTTTGTTTTTATTAGTTTAGGGGCAAAATCATACTACATTTGAGGACCTCTTCGAATTCAAAAACAGTCATTTCAACACAAGACCAGGCAAATTTATCCATCTCGACAACTTAATCACAAAAACAAGTTTTAGTTAGTGAAAAAAAGTTAACCTGATCCTGATTCTAGCATGATTTTTTTGCTATCAATGATATTTTGAACAAAATTTCTGACGAATTCTACATTTTTCTTGAATCTCTTGTTTGTGGGTGACGGTAAGTCGGCATAGAATGGAATCAACAGTTTGAAACTGTGGTTATGCGGTGGTTAAAGTAAAAAAGACAGCTACCTCTACTTACTACTACAATAACTTTCGCTACAACTACTGCTGCTGCTGCTACTGCTGCTGCTACTAACAACTAATAATGCTGCTGCTACAAGCAATCAATCAATCGGCCAACAAGTTTTAAACTTACGAAAGCGGAATTCCTGTGACAAGTTCGTGAAAAACTTTTCCAAGTTCGAAATCCGGATGTTCCAAACTGTCAAAATTGAAGCCAAATGCTGTCTCTCCTATGACATCTAGCGTCTGGGGACCAAATTTTATTAATTTTCTTTCCATTTTTATATTTTAAGTGTTTTTATTTGTTTATTTCATTAAATAAACAACAATAATAATAATTATTAAGATAATATTATTAAAGAAATATTATTTATAATGTAATTAATAATATTATTAAATGATAGAGCTAACAATTCTAGTGAGATCATTATGGACGTGTACAATGAAGTCACCGGCAGAAAGTTTCTTCCAATAGTTGACCAGCCGGCCAGTTTGCCTGTGAAACTTCGCAAACATTCCTTATAGAGAAAAAAACATTTTTTTCATCAATTTTATAGCTTTATTAAAACATAATTAAATAAAACAAATAGTGTTTTCCTCATTTGTGGCTCTACATTTTGTAAGGTATGGAAAGAGATTCCCAAGTATATTATATAAATATAACCATGGAGATTCGTGAGTATATAGCATTGATTTAGCGCATGCGGATAAAGTGCTATATAAATGGCAAACAATAATAATAATAATTAATAATAATAATTAATAATAATAATATTAATTATTATTGTTGAATAAATAACGTTTAATTAAAAGAAATATTCGTTCTCTACCATTTATGGATTTGTTATTGAACGCTGGGAACATTAGCTTTTTGTGCACGGCGTGTCTGGCGCCCCCGCTTGTCACTAATCCATTCATCAGTAACATTATCATGTACCTGTTTTCGGTGAGAGAGAGAGAAAGAGAGAGAGAGAATAATTATTATAAAATAATTTTCTATGGTTATTAGGAATAAATAATACTTGAATAAAATTTAAAAAAATAGAGAAAAAATACATCACATTTAATACATAATACTCTAGAATTACACATACACAAACACACACACACAAATTAAAATTAAAAGCCAACTTCAATTTATTCTTTGGTCTTTCGTAATTCTTCGAATTAGTGACCATCACATGTCGCATGCCCTCTGGGTCAGCTATTAATAGCCTCTCCTTGCCATATAAAAAATAGTACCTGACGTAAGGGCCATACTGATTTACCATTCTGAAATTATCGAGGTCAAATGTTGAAGGTCAAAGTTTAATTTAAAGGTCATGCCCTCTTCGTGCACTTGCTTCAGAGGTATCATCAACAATCAACAACAAACACACCCACTTATTCTCACTCACTCACGCACTCACTCACACACACACATTTTCACACAATCACACACCACACGTACACACACACACACACATGCTATAATTAATATCTTTTATTTATCTGAATAATAAATAAATACTTTATATGGGACTCCATTCCTTCTCCTGAAAACATGTACATCATATTCCCAACTATGGGATTGTAAGGCAAGCCTGGGACCTAGAAAAAAAAACAACAACAATAATAATAATAATAATAATAATAGCAGTACTGATAATAATATATTATGCATAATTTTATGCTTGAAAAATAATTTTTTCAAACAAAAAAAACCTTTCTAAGTGGTGATAGGAATGGAAGTATGGCAAGCTGATATACCACCCATGTTATAAGGAATATAGTGACGTATAAGGCGCCATCTAGCCATGGTATCGTTGTTAAAATCTGAATAAGTCTCTCTGTGCTGGCAATGTTAGGGAATAGAGCAGACACAAGTGACGTCATTTTTGGAAGTTTGGAGATGGATCGTGATTTCTGCTTTTTCAAAGTTTGAGGGCAATATCCATCAATCTACCTCTAAAATAAATTAAGACTTAATATGTTTATTATTAATTACGTAATTAATTACATAATTAATTTGTCTTTTTAAACTTTTAAATGTTAAAAAATCATTATTTTGATAGCAAGTTTACTTTAAACATTTACAATAACTTATTCTATGATGTTTTTAAACTTGCAATATTCAGGTTTATAAGTCACATGCCTGAAGTAATGAACTATTGTGATGGTCTAAATTTACTCTGTAGTTCTTTAGTTTCAACAATTTAGATTCCAATAGAAAATAAACTCATACAAAACAGAACAAACACACATTACAGCACATGATCTGAACAGACATACTAGCAACAACGCTAGCATCCTGTGCTAGCTAAAGCTACTAATTCAATTTGCCTAATCGCCCTAATCTAATTGTATCTAACTTTTATAAAAACGTCTAGAACCATTTTATGAGTAGATTTCATTATGTCTCAGTTAGTGATAAACTTTTTTAATTATCATTTTAAATTCTGAGTAACTCGTTTGGTTGGTTTGTCCTTGGACTTTCAACCACTCTTTTTTTAACTACCGGGTCGTTACACCTCCTCAATTTAAATCGATTTTTTTTATAATGATCAATTTAATCATAGCTTTGTCATCATATTTATAATTATTATAAATAGTATTATCATTTAAATTTAAAAAATTAAACTGTCAATTTTTCTATCGTTCAACGTAACTTTGTTAGGAGTTTACGAATTTTACAAGCAGTTTTAACTAAGTCTACTTTTAACTGTTGCTAATCAGCTGTTTGTAAAAACTAAAAGCGAATTTAAATCACACGTTTTTGGCACTATATTCAAACTAATAAAATCGTTATTGCAGCAATTATAAAAGCCTTTTTTAATTTGGTTAATTCTAAATTTTACTAAATTCATTCTATGAAACAGGAAACTAAGTAGAATGACACTAGCGAGCAAAAAGTACTAATGCAAACCAGGAGCGTGTTAGGCTCTAGCGAACAAAAAGCTTTATTTTTTTTTCAAAATACGACTAAATAAAAATAAATTAAATCATAAAAAATTTATTGTAAAAAGCAAAAAAATAATCCAACTCAATATAAAATAATACTAAAGTACTAAAATTTTATATTAAATAAAATTCTACATATACAAATATTATGCAAGTAGTATTGTGTGGCGCGATGGCCGTGATCGTATAGTGGTTAGTACTTCTCGTTGTGGCCGAGACAACCCAGGTTCGAATCCTGGTCACGGCAGAGTTGCTGTGAAGTTACTCTGTTACGGCATTGCCACCATGTTTTTTTTTATAGTTCGATTATGAAAAATTTTTATCACGTCCCTGTTATGCTTCGTGTCAACAGTGGACATCATTCAATTCACCGGGGGGGTGAGCAATTTGGACATTCAATTCATCGGGGGGTGAGCAATTTGTATAATTAATTCACCGGGTGTCCCTGGAAAAAATTTTATGTTAAAAGGACGACGAAAATTCGTCTCTATCTATAAGATACTCATTCTGCCAACCCTTCCATCCCTTTTACATATCTGAGGGACGCACCAAGACGGACGTGGAAAAACTGGAGATGTCCCTTCAAACTGGAGAAGTTCCTTCAAAAGCGATGGCTCAGAAATTTTTTGGGAATCTTATAATGGGAAGGTCCAACAAACAAAAAACCCGTTCGACCAAAATGCTCAATCTACTGATGACGATTGAAGAGACGGACAGGTTGGCCATCCCTGCAGGATGAACCAATCCCGACTTGCGCACAAATTGCTCTAGAAAGTTCGGCCCGACCAATGGAAAGTTCGGCCCGACCACTGGAAAGTTCAACGACCGCGTCAAAAAAGACATGGATGAAACTGATCAGAGAAGATCTAGAGATCAAGCGATTGAGTTTAATGCAGGCAGAGATGTCAGCTAAGGAGCAGAGAAAAAGAATGAATTGATTTATTCAATAATTTAATTTAACTAGGCAAACTTTACTGATAAACAACCATCATATAAAGAATTTCTTCTAAAAAAACATTTTATTAAAAACACGATATAATAAAAAAATAAATTTAAAATTGTATGTACGTATGTGTATGTTTGTTTGTGTGTGTTTGTGTCTGTCTGCGTGTTTGTGTCTATCTGGTGCTATGTGTTATTTATTTATCTATAATCTTTAAAACATTGCAATGGAAAAGACGGTAAAAAAATTATTGTATCTTCTAGCAAGCTATCTTCTGTGAAAGGAAGGAAAAAAACAAACACACATACACATGAAATAATTATGCTCATTAATGAATGAATGGATGAATGAATGGATAGATGAATGAATGAATTATTGAATGGATTAGATGTAATGTATGCGTAAATGAATAAACAAACTTAAGTATTGTTATAACCAACCCTTTGAACTTGTAGAGTAGGGTTATTTTTCTCGAAGTGAATTCTTGACTCCTGAACGGATTATTCCAGATGAACTTTACCAGAAAGAAAACAGTGCCGGCAGTCACTTGTGCGTATTGCTGTGATCAATCCCTCGTTTATTCGATCGTTAAAACCGTTAGAAAGAATGCAGCACAATAACTAATCGACAGGTTTATCACGGAATAAAACCAATCGTCAATAATTAAGCTCTTCTCGTCAGACATTTCTTGGCCGTAAGTCCTCAGCACTCGCTTCTCTGAAGATTATCGTAATTCACTGGCAGACCGCGTGCAGAATTCTCCGTGATGAACTTTTCCTCGGATGTTATCGCTAATTTGCTTGCAGTTCGCACACAAAACTTCTCTGCGGTAATATGACTCTTCTTCTGCTCGAAACTTCTTCTACTCGAAACTTCTTCTGACCTCTCCTTAATTCTCGTTCTTCTACTTCGTTGTTTTTCCCCCCCTCTCTCTCTGAATCTCGCTTCGGCGTTGTTTGCATAGCTACCGATCTGCTTGTAAATTTGTCACATATCAGTGTCACGTCCGTAAATGAATTTACAGCCTTTTAATTACTTTACAACCTTCTAATTAATTTACAAGCAGTTCATTACTTAATGCATGCTTAACAATTTCTAACAATTAGTTTTTTTTTATTTACGATCTCACGTCCGTAACAGTATAATTAAGAGTGTTCATGGAAGAATGAATGAATTCATGACTTTGTGAACGAAAGAGCGAATGGTATAATGAATAAATATATGAACGAATGAACGAACGAACGAATAACTGAGTATATGAAAGAACAAATAAACGAATGAACGAACGAACAATATTGACGGCTGATGAATAAAATATCGACTAAGAATAAATGGCATAAAATTGCTAAATTCGAACGGGTTTCATATGTTTAAAATAAATTAACCTATTATAAATGAAAATTGAAATATATAATATCTATAAATAAATAAAATTATATATATATATATATATATATATATATTTATAGTTGAATAATTTATAATGGAATGAGAGAAATGTATACAAAAAATACGCAATTGACGCCAAAAAAAAGTCGATGTTTTTAAAATGAAAATAAAAATCTCGAAAAACTCAAATAGTGACAATGCAAAAACAACACCACACACACACACACACACACACACACACACAAACACAGATATTTTATCTAAGAGGTTCCTAGCTACTGTCTACTTACTATAAAACTACACGTTTGATTATATGAAATAAAAGTAATGATCAAAAAAGGTAATAATAATAATATTATTATTAATTATTATTAATTATTATGACTCAAGTGCATAAAACAAAAGTAAGAATCACCAGACATGATTAAACGAATAACTTTTAGAAATAAATTAAGTACTATATTAATAACAACAACAACTACAACAACAACATTATCATCATCATTATTAACAACGACATCAACAATAATAATAATAACTCTGTTTCAAAAATTAATTAAGCTAAACTGAAAAATAAATTAACACAGCAGAAAAAAATTTAAACAGAGTAGACAAAGAAAATAAGATCAACAGAGTGACGAAAAATAAAAGCAAAGAAATAAAAGAAAAATACCCCAAAAAAACAATTGAAATATTTGACTGACGACAAAACTATCAACTAGCATCGTACATTGAAATAGATTGTAATCTCATTATAAAATGATAATAATGATAACGTACTAAGCAGAATCGTCACAGCTTTTACCATCATCATCATCATCATTATCTTCACCATCATCATCAAAACTATCTTCATCATCATCATCGTCGTTATCGTCATCATTATAAATATTTCATTAAAAACAAGTCACACAGGGGTTTCGAACCCCTCCCTGTCGCTATCACTGGTGGCCGAGAGGGTAACGTTCTTGCCTTTCTGGGATCTAACAGCCGGTTGCGGTGACGATAATGATGACTCTGTCGGTGTTGATAATGATGTCGCCGTAGCGTACATTGACGACGCGCCGCTTAGCAGCGACGTTTGATCCATAGTTTCCTGAGTGTTTGTACATGTTTGTATATATGCATGTATGTGTCTGTGTGTTTGTACATGTTTGTATATATGTATGTATGTGTCTGTGTGTTTGTACATGTTTGTATATATGTATGTATGTATGTGTCTGTGTGTTTGTACATGTTTGTATATATGTATGTATGTGTCTGTGTGTTTGTACATGTTTGTCTGTGTGTATGTATGTGTCTGTGTGTTTGTACATGTTTGTCTGTGTATGTGTTTGTATATATGCGTGCGTGTGTGTGTGTGTGTGTGTGTTAGTATGTGAATGTACAATTTGGAGTATATTTAGTTGCAAAAGTATGTTGACAATAACTGACCAACCATTTCAACAACAAAACAAAACGAAACTTGGCACCTTACAAGCTCCAGAGAATTTAATTAAAAAATACAGCTACGTCAGCATACTCAAACAAAAAACATGCAAAAACAAAAGAATTAACAAATGCATAAACAAAGATACATAAACAAAGATACATAAACAAAGAAACATAGACAAGGAAATACAACCAAAGATACATAAAAACAAAGAAACAGAAACGAACCGGGTTAGACATGATATGCCTGAGTTTGTGATGTTTCTTATAGACATGAGGTCTTGCAGTGTAAGATGCTGACTGAGCCATCGTGTATATAGAAATATCGCTATCAGCTTGTTGAATCTGGTGGTGATGTTGTTGCTGTTGTTGTTGCTGCTGCTGCTGAGATGACGATGGAGAACGTGAGGATGACGATTGTTGTTGTTGTTGATGCTTGGCTATTGTTGTCGTTGTTGGACTGGAAATGTCGGCTGGATTGTCAAGGTTCTCACTTTGTATCTGGTTTGGTAGTTTAACAAATATTAAATTTGGTTAAATATTTAAAAAATTATTTCTGGGAAATTTTTCTCCTTTGTTCCTATTATTAACACTGCCTAACTTGTTTCAGGATAAGATAATTCAGATGCACTTGCAAATCTCTCTCAATTTGCTCCAACTTCACCCTCGTTGCGTAGCTGTCGGCCGCCAATCTCGGTCCAGTGCGAGTTATCTCATCCAGATATCTAGGGCAAACAATGATAATAATAAAAATAATGGTGAAAATAATAGTAGTTAACTTTTAAACTACCCAATAATATTGGCCCTAGTCCTGTCCATGACCTCCAAGATGGCTGTGTTGGTCACCATCGTCTCCATGACCTCCTGAGGTTGGCTGTTGTAGAAACATTCGTACAGTTTCATGAGCAGTTGTAAGAACTTGTCGTCGGCCTGAACTTTTTTCAAATTCTCCGAGTGACACATCAATCTTAGCATGTGGTGTACATTGACGGCTGGGGAACCTGATGGTTTTTGTTGATTCATCGAAATGGTGATGCCATTTAAAAAAGGTGATGTCAGTTAGTGAAACTAATTAGTGTAGAAATACTCATTAATAAATGAATTTGGAAAATTAAATAGTAAGCAAACAAATGCAGATTTAAATATTAAGCATTCAAAAATTAGTAAAGTATTTCAAATGAACCTTTAGTTTCAACCAGTTTGAGAGCTCCTTCGGACATGATGTGCAATCTCGAGCAGATCTCCTTAGCACTCTGACAAGCCTCTGCCAGGAATTTGTACTTGGGAGTGCTTGATGGTCCTTGAGAGAAAATTCTTCTAGATTCTTCCCTGGCTAGAAACACATCTACAAATCTGATCTTCCCTTTCAAATCAATCCGACTATCGAATTTTAGGTCAACATCTCTCATCAGTAAGCAGTTGCTGACTAGTGTGAGGTCGGAAACGTAAGGAACTCTTGAAATGATCATTGAGGCAAGACCATTGTCTGATATCAATCCACTTCTGAAGACCTCAGCACACGAGCTTCCAGAAAAGTAGCCAACTAATTTGTGCACCAGAGGTGATTTGAGGTCCGACCAAGCCAGACTCGTTTCCCTAGCAAGATGAAAAACAGTTGGTCCAATGATACGACTGGCAGCATCAGTGCACTTGCCTCTACACAACAACTGCAAACTTAAACTATCAAAGAACCTTTCTATACTCTTTAGGGCCCAGTAAACATCGCTGTAATGCCAGTAAGATGAGTATTTTAAGTACTTCAAGTTATCGCTTGAGGGGTCCAGGCTGCCAGAGGATAAAAAATCTGTCTCAAACTGACCACTCCTGTACTTGTAGCAGACGATTGAGTATGCGGTGACGTCTTGAAAGAGGACAGAATCTCGCATTTTTGTGAGCGTTTGTACGGCTTGCAGCAAACGACTTTCCTCGAGCCAGTACCGCGAGGAGACTGTGCTGTAGAGTTTGTCTCGCTCCTCGCGCCTCCGCAAGTAGCGCTGCAGGACGTAGGCCACACAGAGCAGTGTTACGGAAAGGCATAAAACTGTTAGAATGAAATTGAAAAAAACTGCGAAAGCATAGGAAACCCGATCCTTGCCGTTGTTGTGCGATGGATCGATGATGGACGATGATTGGGGGTCCGGATCGTGCACCAACTGTCCGAGAACGGTTTCCGTATTGTTAACCAAACTGTTCTTTTCTGCATATTCAAACGTTTTATCGCTCATTTTTTTTATACAATACTAAATTTGTGACAAAATCACTAAATCAGTGCGACCGTCATGTTTTTTATTGAAACTTTTGAAAATAATTCAATCCATTTTAAAAATGAACTTAAAAATGGTGCGTTTTAAAAAAATAAATTAATCATTTTTGGTGTTTTATTTTATTTTACTTATGTGGTTTTAGGTTTTGAATAAAAAAAAAATTTAAAACAAAAAAACAAAAAATTTGCAAAACATTTATAAACAATTTAAGTTAAAAAAATAGCTTTTGACATTTTAATAAAATAACTCTAATCAACTCGTCCTTTTTGAAACGTATGCTAAACATACAGCGGAAGTCGTACCCCATCGACGTTTCGGTCTTGTGTTTATTTTAATTTTTTTAATTTTTCTTCATTAAATTTCCATTTAATTATTAATTAATATCTCCAAATAAAATGGCGCCGAAACAAAAAATGCGATTGGCCAACGAAAAACACAGCAAAAACGTGGTAAATCGTGGAAACGTGCCTAAAACCCTGGTTAGTAAGTTAGTGAAATAGGACTGCCACGACGGCATGTTTTCTGCGTGTAACTTTTTTAGTAGCATATGTCGTGTTGAAATTTAAAATGGCGATTTTCTTATTTAAGTTTAATTTTTATAAATTTAAGAATGTTTTCAAGTAGTTCGTTTTATTTTTTCAATTAGATTTGTTGTTTGTTGAAATTTTTAAAGATTTGATTTGGTTTGTGAATTACTTACAATGATTTTCTAAAAATTAAGGCTTGAGATTTGCGATTTTGATTGAGATTTTGTTTGAAATTTTTCTTGAAGATATTGTTCAATATTGAATATTGACTAATCCTAACTAAGAAAAATGTTAATTCTCCAACTAATTCAATATCAATGTGTTGGTTGAGTTTTGCCCATTATTAAAACAATAGCATAAAATTAATTATTTAGTTTAGTAAATATTCAAGTAACTATTTGTCCCAAAAACAGAAACAAGAAGATGAAAAGTTACCAGTTGGGCCATGGTTACTTGGTCTCTTCATCTTTGTTGTATGTGGATCAGGTAACATTTACATGTTAATTTGGATTATTTTCTATTAAGGTTACTGTGCACTATGAGTCTCTTAAAAACTCCCTACAGTAGTCCTGTACCTTTATTTTTCTTTGAGGTCGAATAAAAAATATTGTATTGCATTGTATTGTATTGTATGCATGTGGGTGAGTAGATATACATGTGTGTCTGTTGTATGTGTATTTTTGTTTGTTTGTTTGTATGTATGTCGCGATGTATGTATGGATTAATTATAATATTATTGTTATAAACTTGTTTGTATGTAGATTGCTGCTACGTATGCATGTTTGTATTTGTGTATCTATGTATATCTATTATTATTGTTATAAATTTTATTTCATACTTTTACCCAGCTGTCTTCCAGATAATACAAAGCATACGGATGTACTGATGGATGGATTGAATGGCATTCCCACTCCTGTCAATGAAAATATCCCATTATTATTGTTATTAATTATTTTCATTATTATTTATATTAATAATTATTATTATTATCTATGAAATGTCTTATTATTGCCAATATTAATTACTTTATTGTCAATATGATATATATAAAAAATTGTCAATATGATATAATTATCTTAATATAATTATCAATAATAGTGATGTTAAGGTTAAATTTGAATACAAACATTTGTTTATTTATAAAAGTGAATATATATATATTATTTATATTTATTATAGATATTATTTATTTATTAAACAAAATTATATTTATTATCTTTAAACCATGTCATTTATTCATTTATGAAAAACTTGAATAAATTGTTTCATTCATTGCATGCATGAATATGTTTATAAATATATATATATACATACATATATATATATTTATATATATGCATATATAAATATGCATGTTTTGAACGTATAGACATATATACATAAAGTTTTGCATGCAATATATATATATATATATATATATATATGTGTGTGTGTGTGTATATAAGTTATAATAAAATGTTATAATATTAATTGCAATTGACTGATTGTAGTATAAGTATACAGAGAAATTTATATATATATATATATATATATATATATATAATTTTAAAGTTACCAATGAGAACTGATGTTATTTTATTTTTTGTTTCATGTATTACAAAAATAGCAAAACTTCTTCATTTTTCTCTTTTAATTTTCAATCATTTAATCAATTTTCATTCGTTCATTCAATCAATCAATGAAATGTGTAAATAAAGTTAGCGTAATTGAAACATGTCACAATAATACCGTTGTTAACGTCATTGTTGTTAATGTCATTTTATTCAAGATTCACAAATGTGATAGTTGGTTTGTGTGTGTGTGCATGTTTGTCGTGACATTAATAATGAATTAAAATCAAATACGAATTTATGTATGTTCGTGTGAGAGGAGAGAGAAGGATAGAGAGAGGGAGAAAGAAAGAGAAAGAGAGGAAGAAAGAAAGAAAGAGAGAGAGAGGACAGTGTACTGGAAGACTAACAAGAAATATTATTTGTTATATTATTTATTGGTTAATTACACTGTGAAACACAACGTGAAAAATGTGGATGGTAAATTTCTGAATTGAAAAGTTTTTTGATGTTTATGAACAATTGATATGCGATTGTTTGTGTACCTGCTTGCATGTTTCTACATATTTTAAACAAAATCCAAAAATTATTTTATATACAAAACTATCAAACGACGGCCACTTCTAGAGGTTATCCTTATTATATTTAGTATCTTTCAGGCCAGGCGTTTGGTTATTCAGTCAGATGGTACAAAAATGAGATGAAGATAGTACAGAAGGGTTGGAGATCAGCCATCAAAAATTTATAGTTGCATACATTGAGGAAGAAACAAAATTACAAAAAGTTTGATCTGATTGAGAACTACAACTACTACTATTAAAAATGGTCATTTGGTCATCTGGTGTGGTTATACTCATAATATAAGCACAAACAATATTATAATAATTAACGTTGATTAATTTCGTCGAGTCACCATCATTTAATGATGACCGTGTATTGTATGCAATGAATATCAGCCATAGAATGAGACAAAATGGCAAAACTCATCAATGAGTAGTAAAATAATGATGGAAAATAAAAAATTACAATGATTATTTATTTTTAAAATTACTGTGGTTATTTATTTTAAAGATTATAATGATTATTTAAATAAAATAATAATAATGAAAACTATAATATAACAAGTTATTTTCGTCGTTATGATTTATTTTTTCGATAAAGCCATTCCAAGGCCGACGAGCCCGGCCAATGCGATTCCACCGACAGCAGCCACCCCGCCGATAACAGCGATACCAATCAGGCCATCTGAAATTTTTTTAAATTATGAAATAATTCATTAATTATGGAATAATTCACTAATTTATCTCTCATTTGTTAATGATTATAAAATAATAACAGATAGTTTAATGATTTTTTGAAGAGCAGATGAGTGAAAGAGAGAAATGAATAGATAGGGGAATGAAGGAAAGGATAAGTGACAAAGTAAATGAATGAGGTAATGAATGAATGAATGATTGATTGATTGAACAATTCATCAAAAAAAGCTACCTTTTTTCTCCTTTTTAATGATATAATCTTGCAGGATTTGAACCTGGTGGTTTTGTGGTTGCACTTCTAACATGGCTTTTGTGAACTTCAATGCTTTCTGATATTCCTGAATATGTTTTGGTAAATTTGAACGTTTTTTTTACAAGTGTGTGTATGTGTTTGATTGTGTATGTGTTTGTATGTCCTATGTGTGTGGTGCGCGCGCGTGTGTGTGCAAAATACAATGAAAAAATATCTAACTTTAATCCTTGTGTATCCAAATGCCACATAATACAAGTAGTCTCTCTTCTCATTCTCCTCCTTTGATTGTTTGTATAGTTCTAAGAGCGTAAGTGAAGTAGGGGTGAAATAGATAAGAATACATATAAATGAAATGAATAAATAAATTAATTAGACAATTTAATAGGAATAAATAAAATAAGCAAACAAATTAAATTTCTTAATGACCTTCATTTCAGTTTACAAAGCTAACATAACTAATAGCAACTGAGTAAAATCCCAACATATTAATTAAATAAAATTTTTGAATTAAATACTAATAAGCACTAATTATAAATAATGATGGGTAATTTTATTAATTGCATTTGCATTCTAATAATCAAAACAACGCATAAATTACTGAATTACAAAAATAGAAATAAGTCATTTCACTAATTTCACTTACGTTCCAAAAGCTGTATGCCTAATTGTACATCTGATTTGTTTGAGCTTCTAACAAGGCACCAAGCAAAGCTAAACTGGGTTTCTGCTGTCAGCTGGTTTTCCGTTTTTTCTTTAATGAACTTTTTTCGAAAACTCTTTTAATAAATTGAAAATTAAAAATTAGCTCAGAATTTATAATTTGTAAATATTTTATGTATAAATTTAATAATTCAATATTTAATTCAAAATAAATAATTTAATAATAATAAAATATAAAAATTTATTTTATATTACATTTGAATTTGAGCATGTAATTTTTCAGACAAAAATAAATAAAAGTAACAAGTTATTGTTTAAAATTTTTAAATTGAAAAGAAATTTTTAAAAAGTCACTTACGGCCAGCTCCTCCGGATTAATAATTTCTTCGAAAATAGGATCCATGTCGTTGGCGAAAATAACTCAAAAAAATAATTAAAACAAATATAAATTATTACTTTTGTCAACTAATTTAATTTTTTTCAAATACTAAAACTAACAAATTGTTACTATTTTCACTAATTACCTAACTATAAATTACGACAAATCAGCTGGGTTTTCGATGTCTAGAAATCAATTGACTGGTCGAAGCGAAATTAACTTTTAAATTCGTCTGCGTATTTATTTTTTTTGAAAATGATAATCCTAATTTTTTAAATTGTATCACTTTTTCATAAAAAGATATATATATAATATAGCATATATAAGCAATATTAAGATGTTATTTTTTTTTGAAATTTTCATCTTGAAAATATAAATAACTGTATTATTTGTAAATTTGTCAGATTTGGCCATAATTTGACAGTTTTATTATTTGGACTCAATCACACACAATGCAGTAATCAGAATTAGTATGTTTATGTATATGGGCACACATTTCTGTATATGAGTTTGTGCTTTGTATGTGTGTAGTGTATTGTACATGTGTGTGTGTTGTGTGTGTGTTGTGTGTGTATGTGTGTGTTGTGTGTGTGTTCATATTTAACGAGAGTTTGAGATGATATGTAGTAGAGGTAGGTAGGTAAGTAAGTAAGGTAACATGTGCAACAGACTTTTTTAAAAAAATTTTTTATAAATTAATAAGTTTCTTCAGATCTTTATTTTTTTCACGCTGTTCTAACTTGGTTATTGTTATTGATAACGAGAAATTATTGCAATTGATGAAAAAATAAAAGATCTAATAAAGTTAGTAATCATTTATGGTTGAGTGTTGGGTGATTTAATTATATACAATAGCCTCTAGTTAGAATAATTATCCATTCGGTCGATTTTAATTAAAATTTTTAAGTTTTAGTTGATATAATATAAGATTAAGTTTTTTTTCGTCAAACCGTATGTGTAGTTTGGCTAATTAGTTAAGAATTTATTTTGGTGATTTAATTTTAAATAATTTTTAATAAGGCAAAATTGGTTGAAAAATAATTTAAAAACTTTTCAGTGTGAATAGTGAATGAATAAAATCATTTTAATTGTAATTACACAGTTGGTTAAACAACATCATCAGCTGAATGAATGGATGAAGAAATCAATAAAGATAGAGCAAAAACAACGTAACATTGAAAACAACTACTATAAAATAATGCTTCAATCAGACATTCAGTCTCAGTCAAGCAATCAAGTCCATTCAGCCAGTCAACAGCAGCCAATCACGATCAATCAATCGGTTTCAACCAATCAGCCAGTCTCAATCTATCAATCATCTTCAATCGGCCAATCTGATCCAATCTATCAATCAATTTCCATCCGCCAATTAAATCCAATCAGCCAATCGCGAACTGCCTGCAATCAAATCACTCGACCAGAGATTACTAACAACAATCAGCAACCACAAAATAGAAATTGCTATCGAAATATTTTGATAATGTACCTACTATTTATCGTTATCGTTATCATAGTCTTGTTTAGAATTAAATTGAAAATGATTAATGAATCGAACGAAAATCGTGGAAGGTTAAACCTATACTTATTTTAAATGTAATCTTTCGATTATTTTCGGTTGATTATTGTGAATAAAAAGTTTTGATCAATGTAACGTTGATAAATCCATATCATTACGCCAATAAATTAATTACTTTAAATTCGATAATTAATTCCTTGTCGTATATACTCTCTCAAGCATTGACTGATTGATTTCTTGAATTGACTGAAATTAGTAATATTGATCAACTACATAGACAAGCATAGGCAAAAATAGAATAACAATACAAATATTTAATTGGAATTAAGAATTAATAATGATAGATTTAGAAAAAGAGATGTATATATAGTCTTGTTTAGTTTACATATTTTGAGATTTCCGTGGTTAGAAGCGTCCAGATGTAAAGCAACTTCATTGGTATCTTCTTTTCTGTCACTTATTAAACTAAATTAAGATGAAATATACAATACGAATTGAAGTATTAATGTTAGAAATAAGAAATTAGCTCAAGTTTTCAGTAAGAAAAAAATATTGACAATCACTATTCTGTTTTTCCAAAATATACTGAACATACAGCAATAAATTTTGCAAAACGTTTTGAAAATTAAGTATTTTAGCACATACTTGTTACCTTTAGTCGCACCATATAATGTATTAATAGTAATTAGAAAAAGTTTCACGTCAAGTCGCCGTTTTTCGCCCAAAAAAAAGTATTTTATTTGTTCGGTTTCCCAATAAATTGCCTTTATTGTAAATTTAAAGCCATTCTTTACAGTTAAGAGTTTAATAATTTTCAGAAAATGGCAAAAGCCGAGCAAATCCTAATTGTGGAACCTTCGAACGAACTGAAATTCACTGGGCCCTTCACGTCTGTGGTGTCGAGCGAACTTTTGCTCAAGAATCCAAATAGCAAACCTGTCCTCTTCAAAGTCAAAACCACAGCTCCTAAACGGTACTGCGTTCGACCCAATTGTGGTTTCATCGAACCGAATCATCAGGTAACGGTTTTGGTGATGCTCCAGCCTTTCGAATACGACCCAGCAGAGAAGAACACCCACAAATTCATGATTCAGTCCATGTTTGCTCCCCCTGGCACCACGGAATCCAACGACATAATTTGGAAGGAAGCGCCAGCTGGACAGATAATTGACAACAAGTTGAAATGCGTTTTCATTCCAATGTTTGAAAGTACTATTGATGAGCCTCTGCTGCAAGTCAGTCAGGCTGCCAGCCAGACTGCTCCCCCATCAGTTATTTCAAGTACAGTTGAAGACACCAGGCAAGTTCCGAAGGCAAATGAAGTGAGGGCAGAGTCTATTAATAACTTGGGCTGGCAGCAGGACAGGGCACCTGAGGAAGTTGGCCACCAAAATGTCAATCGTCAGCAGCTGCAAATCGAGTTGGAAAAACTGAAAGTAGAAAATGTGAAGCTGAGAACTGAGGGCATGAGACTGAGGAACATTTCAAACAACCCAGGAGGACAGTCACAAGTGTTAGGACCCAACCAGCGTCTTGACACCAAAGTTAACTTTGCTTCACAAATGCCACCAATATGGCAGCTCATTGTTGCTTTGATAGTTGGCATGATCATTGCCAAATTTTTCCTTTGAAGCCAGTTCTCGCTAAATCAGGATGTTGTTCGTTTAGTGTCGGTGACTAGAAATTCTTCTTGTTAACTCAATCCACACATAACGAAGTGAAATGATGACAAAAAATTCTTTATAAATTAATTTTATAACCATAATTTATTTCCTTTTTTTTTATTTAGTGGGTTATGCGATGATTTGATGGGGACTTTATTAAAATAAGATTCATTTGAATGACAGATGTCTCAACATTTGTTTGTCTGTGTGTGTGTATGCCTGTCTGTCTGTGTACCTGTGAGTGTGTTTTTAAAAGTTTGTAAATTATTTACATAATAATTTACTTTTGTTTGAATTCATTCACTCACTCACTCACTCACTGACGTTTCAAACATTGATTGATAATACTACACAACCAATACAACAATTTGATGTTATATATTCTCACTGTTTCTTGTTAATACAACAACACTTCAATCAATCAAATCAATCATTTAATTGATCAATTAATAAATAATTTTAATGATTATTAATCAATTAATTGATGGCTTTAATTAACTATTTGATTTAATTGCACAAATTTATAGCTTTGTAAAAAAAAAGTGAAAACTCGAAAAAATAACTCTATTATTGTTAATTTTTTCTATTTTTGAATTCTTCAATATAAAGAAAAATTTATTTGTTCAATTTGTTCCATTACCTGTTCTCTGTTGTTCAAATTGAAACTTAATACAATTTGATAATTTTCTTTTTTTTTTCGGTTTTGGCTTATATTTTCTTTATTATCATTAAATCATTAATAATATAATAATAATTATTAATGTTATCAATTAAAATAATAATAATTAACGGATTTTAGTTCATTAACAAATTTTTTTGGCAAAAAATTTGCTAAATCAATGGAATAAAAATAGTGATAGATTGAATAGATTAGATGCGTGTGTGTATGTGGTTTTGTGTGAAAAATATTGTAAAAATACGGACACGCACACACACACATATATATATTATTGATAACAGTCTTAACTCAATATATATATATATATATATATATATATATAATATGCATATATACATTTATAATTGATTATCATGAATCCATAGCAATTGGTTGAATAGATTGTGTGTGTGTGTATTCTGTATACATAACATTACATAATTCTACCTAAAACCGTAATAAACTGTGGAGGAAAATGATAGATACATATATCTATATATATTCTATGATATATATATCATTTGTTTGACTGTGATCATCAACCAGGTAACTTGAATAATAATAAATGAAGGTGTATTCTTCCCTTTAGAAATCTCCTTACATGAGTGTCAGCGATTTTTACAAAAAATATTATCGACGATCATTGACTGACAGATGTCCGTAAGTATAGAGTGTTTTTTTTCATAGGTATTTACGTACACGCAGGCACATATACACGTATGCGTATGTACACAAACACATACGTTATATACATGCACATACGTAACACTCAACACATCTCAACCACAATTTTTTCACAAACTCGCCTTAGTTCATCTTTTAATCATAGCCATCATCTGCCATGAAAAAGTTTGCAGCACTTCATACGCTAACAAGCATCAATTGAACTCTCTTTAACGTGTTTGTTGATTAAGCTAAATAACTCTGATTTATCACAAAATAATTGGTTAAACACACACAGGCACGCATATATACATAACATAACCGTTTGTAAAGAATCATACTAATGATAATATGTTATAATAATATAAATCTTAATATAAATAATGACAATATGAATGAACATACGCTCGGTATATTAATAATACCCATATTGCTACCACCATGCAATACAGTACAATATCACACATTACGTCATGTTCAAACCAATGCATACATACCAGCTATTTTATATGTCATATATAGCAATATGCAAATAACCTTCATGTATATATAAATATATAAGCTGGAAGGAAACAATCAGTTGAAAATATTGTAACGCTAACACGATATATTATAATATTCAGAGACAAATCAATCAACCATTCAATCAACCACTCAATTGATTAATCAGTCAATTAATTAATTAGTCAATCAATCATTCAATCAATCATTTAATAAGACAGCTGTTTGATGGACAAAAAAAACGAAATCATTAATAAACGAATTTAACAATATCTTTGGGAATTCAATTGATAAACTGATATACCAACCAATCGACCAACCAAACAATCAACCAACCAACCATTCAATCAATCAAAATATATCCTTATCATCAAAAAACGCTATCATAACTATATTTATTCGACTTAAAATAAATAATGCTATGTATGTCATAATAATGCAGTTAATAATAATGAACATTAAACTCTAAATCATGCAAAAACAAACTACTTATTACACACACACACAAACACGCACACACACACAAACACACAGAGGTTTTTATTTGCCAAGAATACGCTTCATCTGCAGATTCTGGTTCCTGATTTTGGTGTCTGCCCTGTCGGCTTTTCCCGAAATTCGATCGAGTTGTTCATTCTGTACCTCTATCTCCTCCCCCAGGCCCTGGGCTAGCACTTTCAAGTTCGATAGGCCACTGGACATCAGGTCTAAAAATGAAAAAATAGATAGATAAACAGAGAGATAGATAGATATAGACAGACAGACATATAGATGGATGGCTAGAATGATATACTTGAATGAAATAAATCAACAAGACAATACGGAAACAAACAAAAGTATAAATAATGAACAACCCAAGTTCTTTTCCAATCCTCTTTCGTACTCCTGCCATTCCTTCGATCTCGATGATGATGATGATTGTTGTTGTTGCTGCTGTTTTTGTTGTTGCTGTTGTTGCTTAATTTGCCCCATGGAAGCTGATCTGAGTAAGTTATTATTGTTGTTGTTGTTATTTCATCATCACCATCATCGTCATCATCATCGTTAATATTATTCATCATTATTTATAAAACTATTTTTCCTGGCAAATTATCTCACTTAAGTTAATGAGCATGACTAAAACCACTAAGTAGACAACGAGTAAAATACACACACACGCAAACACATACACACCTACACATACATACACACAAATGAACCTTGTATTATTATTGGGCTTGTTGCCAAAACTATCTGGGTCAAAGTGATCAAACTCAACAACATCATCATCAAAAAATCCTTTGGTGTCGTAACCTGAAAATAACAAAAGTTAATAACAGATAAATAACGATAATAATAGAAATAATTATTATTATTATTATGATAACAATTATAGGAATAATAACAATGAATGAATGTAGTAGCAGCAGTAGTTGTAGTAGTAGTAGCAGCAGCAGTAGTTGTAGTAGTAGTGATTAAATGAATGAATGAATGAAAGAAGGAAAGTTGATAGATTGAGTAATAACAAGATAGATTCAAATATAAATATATAAAATTCTCAAAAAATTTCTAAATAAACAAGTTAAACCTTTGCTAGTAAGAGCTGGGTGTGTGTCCTTAGTTGATGTTTGATTGTTCAATGCCTTGCCTAGAGTTGTATTTGTCCTGATTGGCAACCAAAAATATAATGATTAAATGTAAAATTAATTTTTTTTACATATTATCATCTTAATTGTAGTTATAATTATATTAAATGTTCGTTCATTCATTCATTCACTCATTCATTCATCCATTGTCTTCTCCCTCATTCATTCACTTATTCATTCACTCACATATTTATTCTTTCATTTCATCAGTCAATCATTCATTCACTCAGGTCTACAAAAAATAACTTAACTACATAAATACATGGGTTCAATAAGATAAATAAACAATGCAAGTCAATAAACTAATGAACTGAATCTTTGTGCTTGTCATATGATATCCACTGACACATTTATTCTTCCTTTTGTGATTCAGAAAATATTTACATAGAATGACAGAGAGGTAAAAAAAAGAGAGAAAGAGAGAGAAGAGATATTTTAGAAACTATCTTAGTGAGAGAGAGAAAAAGTCAATTTTCATACCTATCACGTGTTGGTTGAGTGACAGGTTGTGAGTCCTTCTTCTCGCCATTCCACCAATTCTTGAATCCCCCAAAGACACTTTTGATACTGTTGAGATGTCTTTGTGACGTTTTCGTGTCTGAAATTATTTTGTCTATGTTTCTTTCAGCATTGTCTAGCTTCTCACCTTGCCTGACTAATTCCTTCATAGAATCAAAATTTGGATTTCGTTATGAAACTAAAAATGACTGAAATAATGAATTTTATCAAAAAAGCATGCAGGTCAGTAGATAGCTAAACCTAATCTAAACTAAACTAAACTAAGCTGCAGTTGCAACATCTTTTTAATCTAAATGCCGCAGTGTAAAAACGTTATTTTAATATCAAACCAACTTAACTGACTAAACCAAACATTTGATACAACATTCAACTAACTTAACTTACAAGAACAAACCTCAGCATTTTTATAACATCTCTAATTTAACTGACAAAACAAGATTTAAGCTTATAACATCAAACTAATTTTACAAACTAAACTCACCTCAGCAGTGGCTATCCCCACAGATTCTGAATCATATAAGCTGGCCAAACAACGATTTGTAGTTTCAAGTTGGCGATTCATGGAAGACTGAACTTTCTGCTGGAGGTTGCTGTACTCGGAATTAGCAGACGATGAAGATGGCGGAGAATAGAAATCATCTTTCCCATCATCGTAAAATGGGTTGCCTGAGTTGACTTTTTTAGTGCCATTTGCCGTGGTTAAACTGCTGCCACCGCTGCTTTTCATGGCGTTCGCTTGTCTGTTTGCGTGCGCTTCAAATGAGTTATCGTCATCATTCTCAAACGGATTTCGGCCGTACATTTTTCGAGGCAGTTGGAAATTATTAATTAATTTATTTTTATTTAATATTTAATTAAAATTTATTTTTAACAAATTAAATTACCGAACTCTTCGAATTAAACGTTGTTTGAAACTGCTTACTCAAAGTTTATTCAGTTCTTCTCAAATATGAAAAACCAAACTCATTTCACGGAAAAATTTATAAATTAGAAGCAAGTTTAAAGCAATTTATAAATGTTGGAAAAAACCAGAATCATATGGCGAGCAGGGATGTTCAAAATTACTATTCATAGGGAGAATGGTAGGATAGAGTCGGTAAAGTGTTATACATTAAAAACTAAAATTGTAAATATTTATTTATAAAATAAATATATTTATTTAAAAAATTAATTAACTTAAAATTATTACAAATGTAATACAGAAAAACAAAATATGCAAGTTTAAAATCTCTATCTACGAATATCGAATTTAATTTTTATGAGTTTGGAAATTTTAGGTACATCTCTTTTTGTTATTAGGTCCACTTTTAGTTTCCATCTGATTACATTTTCTCTAATTTTCATATTATAAACAAAATGTCTAAAACACATATTAGTGAGTGTTTTAATCATTTTAATTCAATGCATTTGAAACGTTTAATACGTGATTTTTGTTTATTTCAGGTTGTTTGGACGGGGTTCCATTCGCTCTTCATGAACACTTTATGAATATTCGCCTGGTTATGACTCTGGATTTTTATAATTTTTTAAAAATTTGTCAATTTTTATCAACCATTTATGACATAAAAAAAAATAGATTCTATGTTTTTGTTTTAATTTTTTCACTAATTTTCGTTTCAATGTATTTTTTTAATTTATTTTCAAACATTAGCAATAAATTTAAATAACTATTACAGTGTTACACAGTTACATTTACTTTTACACAACAATGGCTTTTATCAATCAATCAAATAATCATTCAATCCATTAAATTTACATGACTCTAGAATCTAAAGCCTAGGTCTTTAGTCATTGGAGTGGTGGAATCCAAATGTAATGACCTGCTATATATTTATATTTGTGTTTATCATTATATGTGTGCAAATAATTATGGGGTATAATAACTTTTAACAACACATCTGTGTGTATTTTTTATTCAGCTGCCTAAGCCCCAGGAACTGCACTCTAAATATTATGTCTCTGATGTATTATCATTAGATGTAAGTTACATGGAGCCATTTTAATAAGCTTATATCACAATTTATTTTATTAATATTACTTATATATTATTATTATTATTATTCATAATTACTAATAATGTAAAGATAAATCAGTGTAATAGTGATAATTTTATATAATAATTATACTATAATTTATAAGTTTATTTGTGCAAGGACAATTATATTTTTACAATAACCATACTAATTACAATCCTAACTATATTCATAATAATAGTTATCAACTATAATAATAGTTAATGATTTTAATCTTTTACTTGTTAAATATTTTTTATTTCAAATGATAATGATTTGCAACAGTACGATGATACAGATGAAATGATTTTCGTTGGTAAGCGTAAAGCCAAGAAAGACTTCTTGCTAAAAAAACAGGAGGAGTTGTTGGCGCAACAAAATCTTAGACTGCAACAGTTGCAACTGCAGCAGCAACAACTGCAGCAACGACAACTGCAACAACCATCACATAGCAATCAAAATTTGCTAAATCCTAAGATCACAAATTTACAATTTCCCCAAACATCCAATGATATAAATGCACAGATTCCAGCTATTGTAGCTAAGCCATTTAATTCATCAAATTATTATATCCATCAGACATCTGCAACAACATCTTCAAAAACAACAGCAGTCACAGCATCATTAGCAAATGTTCCTCCCTTGCCTACAAATTTAAATTCACATTTAAACGAAATCCTCATTCCGGCCCCTGTAAATAGTACATCTTATGTTCAGCAGTATTCAAAAAATAGTCAGAACCCGGGGTTTTCCAAGCAAAATGGACAGTTAAAAATAGATTTAAAAGACTTTGAATCTGAGCAAGATCCTTTTGAGAATTTATCTTTGAAAGTGATAAATGATATAGAAGAGCTAGATAAAGTATTTCACGGTACGAACGCACTTGCAAGTAAAACAACTGCATTGACAACACCTTCTGCAACAATAACAACAGCCCCTCTAGCCACATCAGTTTACAAACCATCACCCTTGTATACTACTAACGATCTGCTACAAAACCAACAGCAACTACTTCTACATCAACAACAGCAGCAACAGCAGCAGCAACTATTACAACAACAACAGCAACGACTTCTACATCAACACCAACAACAGCAACCAAATTTTTACGAAATTCCCAAATTCACTCAAAAATCTTTCTCGCCGCTAACTGTCAACAACAACAATCACCATACAATCGGCCAGACCTCATCATCGTCGTCGTCATTTTACACTAACAACAACAACAACCTCCCGTGTACATACATCCAACAAAATCCGACAAACATCATTGACAACAACATCATCATCGCCAACAACCCAGATAACTCGTTCTACAACAATCAATATCAACAACAGAATCCAACTTACAATACCAGCGTTAATGACTTTAAGCACTACAACAACGGCCACAATCCATTCACTAACCAGTCTGATAAACTCTATACACATTTCAACAGCAACACATTTACTAATCAAAATTTAGCTAGCGTTAGCATCATCAACAATGCACGGAGTATTAATGCCATTAGCAACGACATCAACAACAAAAACGCCCTATACTACAGCGACGTCAAGAACATTAATGGCATTGATGATTTTGGTTCATCAATATTGGATAAATATTTTTATAACAAATACGTCCTCAGTAAGAATAATAATCTCCTTATCAATCAACAACCAATCACGTCATCAATGGCGTCACAATCATCTCTGAATATGTTAAGACAGGCTAAGAGTACATCAGATCTGACAAAGTTAAATAATGATGATGATGATAGCTGTAGGCGTAACTATGATAACTTTATCGCCGCAAATGATGATGGCGCTGATTGTAGGTTCGTTAACTTTCCTAAAATTGTCCCCAGCAACATAGGTGTCAGAAGTGGCCAGATCAGTGATGCGCGTTTCGGTTTTGACAAACAAAACTCGTCCACTCAACATTTTTATGGTAGATTTACGCCTCCAATTATGGTCAGCTTAACTTTCTTTTGGTGTTTTTTTGGTTAAGCTATTTTTTCTAATTTATGAAACGCACCCTATAATTTCAATTGTTATTATCTGCGTTACACATAAAAACACACACACACACACACAAACACACACACACATACACAAACAAACACACACATGCAATTACTCAGACGTTGATAGGCAAACCCTTGATATAAAACATTGAAATATACACTAACACCCATTGTACTATTTAACAAAATTACAGAAAACTTCAGAAACAACAGCAGCTTTCAAGAATCCACACAGCCACATAGCCTCTCCGTCACATGTCAGCAGCATCAAAATGATTAAGAGTAAACCAAAATCATACAAAGAAGAATTAGTTGATAGGATTATTTTGATGGGGTTCTCAGAGGTTAATGTCAGCAGGGCGGTTGCTCATTTTGGACTCAATGAGCCAAAGGTGTCGTTTGTATTTTGAATGTTTATTTAATGCGTTCTTTTTTTTTAGTTTTTCGTTGTTTGATCAGTCTTATGCTGTATTCAGTCCAGTGCATTTGAGTTTTTCAAGTTAATTTAATCTGAGTTAAGTGCAGACAATTTGAAGATTTCTCCATTAATTATATGAGTAAATAGTTGTTTAAGTGATTTTTTAGCTAAAAGATATTATTATTATTTCATCTTAATTTACGTGAATTCTTAACTAAACACACACATACACACATGGGTACATATATACATACATAGATACACACACACACACAAACAAACGTACATAGATACAAACAAACACATACAAACACAGATCGTCAATCATCTTTGTATGCTAAGTGATCTAACTTCGTCTCAAGTGCCGTCATCATCATATGGCGAAACATTAATCCAAGATGTGTTACTTCTGAAACCAGAATACACCAGAAAACAGGTCTGTATGTTGTATCAATACGCATATACACACATACATACACTCACTTATTAACAACACACACGCATCAATACACACATACATAAAAACACACACATACGCACGCATATTTAAATTAAGATAAAAAGCTACCTGGAGGTATTTCGGAATTTCCAAAGTATGGGTTTTCCCGCCGAGAAGATACACCAGGCCCTCAAGATAACAGAAACTGATCAGGAAATGATACTGGACATACTGACCAGCACGAAAACTTAATTTAATTAATTAATTATTCAATTAATTAATTAACGAATAAACTACGTGATTAAATTTTCTCTCAAAAACTATGTTTACAAAATTAACTAAAATATCGCTTAAACATAGAAGATAAATTCGATTATCAGAGAAGAAATAAAGAAAACGTAATATTTGATTGTATTATTTCTTATTTGTTAGGCCTTTGTTTGAGACAAACAGACAGACACACACAAGCAGAAAGACACCCACATTTACTATATATGTACATACACACACAGACATATAAAAATATATATATATATATATGCTGGTAAAAGACCATAATTATTGCAGTAATTTATGAAATCTACCTGAAACTATCCAACGCTAGAAATTCGCTAGATTTAATAAATTACTGCATATATATATATATGTATAATTTTTAAAAATTCTTTTTAGTGTCCCATTATTACTGTATATTTTGATTTTGAGTTTGATCGATGTAATTAGACATACACACCACACACACACACACAAACATACACACACACACGCATATATACTTCGATCATTTGTATACTTCAATCATTTGTAGTTAATAAACTTATGGCATTTGTTCAATCCTGTATGTATGCTTACTTTTTCTGATGTACATATTTCAGAATTCTAATTAATTATATCGTGTTTGTTAAATGATTAATTATGTGCATGCATGGTTATATTTGTAAGGATTGTTTCTTTTTAAATCGAAAACAAATTCATCAAAAAAATCCTATATTCCATAAATCCTACAAATTTATCAAACGTCGATAAGAGACTGAAGATACATTTTGGAATTTCTAGTAAAACAAAGTGACGTTGGACTTGGTAGAACTAAGAGAACAGAAACTGTCAGAGAGAGAACGGATGCAATTCACGGCACACCAATTTCTAAACCGATTACAGGCAAATGTAGCCTAGCTAGCAAAGCCAGACTTCAAAAATTACAATAAATAAATAATAATATAAATAATAAATTATAAATAATACCCCTTCATAATAATACCACCTTATCACTATCTCATGGCTCTACCACTTCTCATAAATACCATCCCTCTGTTGTTGGCGCGACCTGCCTGGGGTCTCCTGAACCCACTAAAGCCCCCCGAAGTATTATCATTGTTATAATTATTGTCGTTGTAATTGTTATAATTATTGTCGTTATACTTATCATCATTGTCATTCCAATTATTATTATCATAACTTTTTTCTCTGTTATCATTATTATTGTTACTACTGTTACGCCAGTTCTTTTGGCAACCTTCGTACAGGTTATTACTGCTACCAGCGTCATCGCTGTAGCGAGCTTCGTTGCTCTGTGGCTGCTGCTGTTGTCTGTCGTCAAAACTCCCGCCACATCTTTCGCCACCGCCATCACCGACGTTTCTATTCGCGCCACCTTGCGTGAAATAATTTGGCGCTAGAAGATTTTTGGGTCCGGATGAGATGGAGGAGGAAGAAAACGGAGTCGATGGTTTTATCACGTGAACTCTGGGGCCCAATTTGTCTTGAGGACTCATAAAATTACGAGACTGAGGAGTGGTCTGATTACTTGGATTATAGTTATAACTATTATTATTGCCCGGATGGCCCCCTCCAACCGTTCTAGGATGAATGAGCTGTTGGCCCATCGATGGTGGGCGGTTCACGCCGAACGATTGGCTGTTCATATTATTCAATTCATGCACGACATTGTTGTAGCCATCGTCGTCAAAGTTGTTGCTGGTGGGAGCATTGTGCCCGAAACTGACCTCACCACCTACATTTCTTTGCGAATCGGCCCTAGAACTACCGCCCCTGTTGTTGGTGTAGCCTCTTTCGCTGAAATTTCTACCACCAAAGCCACTTACATCATGGACACCACTACCGCCTCTCAAATAACTTCTTTGAGCTCTTCCATAGCTTGAAAATAAACTTCCAGAGTTACTAAATTGGGCCCCTGAACCTCCACTGTAACTTGATCCCCTCCTGAAGCCTGCACCTCCTCTGCTTGCTGGTCTTTCAGTGTTCTGCTGCCATTGAGAGCTGCCCTGAAATCTGGGGTTGACGAATCCTGGGGCATTGAACAGGCGGGGCACTTTTGATTGCGGTCTGAAATTTTATTGGTTGGTTGGTTGGAGTGAGTCTTTGTAATTGAATTAAGATAAATAATCAAACAACAAACGAACGAACGAACGAACAAACAAACAAATAATGAGCAAACGAACGAACAAACAAACAACAAAACGATCAAACAAATTATACTCACTCTCCCTCAGGCCCAACGAATCCAAACGTAGCGCAATTAATATTGGACAGCTGGCCGACCAATCGCATGAGTTTGCCGTCCAAATCTTCATGACCACGACCTTGACCTGCCTCTAAACTTTCAGGGTCAGACGTGGCTCGGACCACGAGGTCTTCGAGAAGTGGTCGCAAGGCCGCAACTTTGGCCGCTACCACTGGGTCCATTGCCAGGTTGATCCTGACAGTGAAGGAAATTTATTTTTTTG